AGAGCTCAAAAGTAAAAAAATCATCTCAAAATTTAGTAAATTGGTTATGAATAATTGTGACCGTTCGTGACCGAACCCATCCCTAGTCCTGTGGCTGTTGCGACGATTTGATGATCTAAATAATTTAAACCATTTTTAACTTAACAATACTTATATTTATTCAAAAAAAAAAAAAAGAGGTCTGGGTAAAAAAAAAAAAAAAGGGCCATAAAACATACTAAATAATGAATTAAAAAATAAACTTTCTTATAAAGAAACACAACCATTATGAAACCGAGGAAATATAATCTATCTCTAAGAATATTCAGAAAAACTAAAAAGAAACATGTTATTTTGAAAACCAAAGTTTGCAGTAAAGCAAGACCACATGCCTTTTATAAAAGGTTCAATTCCCTATAAGAAATGTAAACATAAGAACTTACGAAAAAAAATAAGGCCATTAATCTGAAATTTATAAATTGCAATAAAGGTGAGAATACGTCGAAACAATTTGCCTGTTATGGGGTAATACAATTATCCCTCACAGTTGATAATTTTTTGAACTTACTCTTTCTATCAATAAGACCGGAACTGTAAAAAAACAAAAAAAAATTTAGTGAATGAACAATGAAAACGAAGATAAAGTAAGGGTTAATGAACTATGTATAAAACTTGAACAAACCATAAATTCCAATCCCCTTTAACTAATGTTTTTAACTAATGTTTTTTTTGAGCATTTTTTATTTTTTTGGTTTTTTTTTTGGTGTTTTTTTTTTTTGCTTTTAAATTTTTTTTTGTTTTTACACATAATATTATTTTTAAATTTGTATTAAAAAATATGATATAAAATAAAATATAAAATACCATAAAATAATAATTGTAACAGTAGGAATATTTTCTTCTTAAAAAATACCAAATATATGACACTTTGTGCCAACGATCTTTACCAAAAGTGAAAATACATTGTAATGAATATTCTCTAACTTTGGTTACACGACCATTGGTTTTCTCCTTTTAACAAAACTTTGATTAATTTTCATTAACTTTTCTTCTGATTGTGGTATTTTTTCTTCAACAAATACGGTTAGATAATTTTTGAAGGAGTTTGTGATTATTTTATCATTATAAATTGAATTATGATGCATGTCCACTAAGTTTTGTTTCCATGATTCTCTGATTTCTTCAATATTTTCAGTTTTGGGCTTTCTTTTGGTCGATGAAACTTGAGAATTATCTTCATATTGAGAAACATTTTGTTCTTCATTACTTATATCATCTTCAGAGATCTGCATATCATCTGATTCCTCAGTAGTTTGCACAGGACCTATATCTTCAATAGTTTCCATAGGTAATGAGTAAGTTACCTCTATATCAAAAAGGACAGGTAAATGGTATTCAAATAGTGGACTGAGAATTTCATCACTCGCACATCGTGAAATTATTTCCAAGTGCGATGGTAAGAAAAAGTTATTTGCGTTGCAGTAATTTTTAAAGGTATCAGAAATAGCTTTAAACGTGCATTGATTCATTTCATTTGGGGATTGAAGTTGAATGTCGAGGCTAGCACGCGTTTCCAAAAGATCAATAAAACACAGGACAGTTATTGGTGCCTCAGTTCCAAATTTTCGAAGTACCCACGTATAAAATTTTGGCGATGATGCAAGTGGTTTTATATGCACGTCAGAGAAGATTATAATTGGTGCAACGTTACTCAAATGATGATCAAATGCTTTATTAAATTTATCTTCGGCTTCTTCCGACATGAACGAGAAGATGAAGTCCCAAACGTTCATTTTGTATGTACGTTCAGGTCTTAATGTTTCGACTAAACAATTGTATAGAAATGTCTCGGGGACTTCTTGCATGACTTGTAAAAATGATTCCATCAAAATGTTACCTATATCATCTAATCTATGTTCAAATAAATGTAAAACATCTGCTATAACATTATAATTCAATTGAAAGCCAAGATTTAATAGCTCAATGAGCCTCTTGTTAACATCCAGTACGCTTGGTTTTTTCCATTCAGGTGAAGGTGTAGGCGGGAAAAGAATCAAAAGAGCACCTTGTATTACAAGATCATTAGTGTCTTCGCATACTTCATAATATCCAATATTTTTCCATATATGAATTAAGTCTTCATAGATCAAAATTGCGCGTGCAACCACATTCAACTGACGGTTGTTCTCATAACCGTCCTTGGACGGATATTCTTCCGAGTTGATTTGTACGTGATATGAATTAAATTTTCTCTGGGGTCGTGGAGGAAAAGGGATAAATTTCATTTTTAAAATCAAATTCCTGATGGAACTCATATTTTTACGTAAAATATCTCGGGCATGATTTATTACGTGTGGACCTGCCGAAAGAAAATGAAAGAGTTCCATATCATTACCCTTCGCGCAAAGGTTATCTGTTTCTAATTGTTGCTGTGCTTCAGTCATTAGATAAGTAAAAACGGGTATTTGCAAGTTGCTAGACCATGGAACTTTGTGATTTATTCTATTAATATCTATATGACCCATTATATTATGAGCAATTTTCAATTCGAGTAACTGTTGGTCATGTTTCCCGAAGTTAATAAGGAGCTTTTGAACGAAATATCTCGATAAAATAGCTTTTTTCGCAACGATGGCTTTTGCTACTGGAAGATTAATAAATGATGGTCCTAATCTTATTGCATGGAATAGGGCATGGGCTCTGCCATATTGACAAATAATCCAGTCGGCTCTCGCATGTTCATCTCTCGCAATAATAGAAAACCGTTTACAACTAACTGCAAAATTTTTTGGTGAAGGTATAAATTTAAAAATATATATCAATACCTCGTCTGCAACCTTTAGAACTATAGTGGAAGCACCAACAGACATATTGGGAGCAAGCCCATATTCAAAATAGAATTACGATGCTTTATGGCAAAATTTTGTAATATAAATAAATAATGTACTATTTGTCACGCTTGGTATTGCTGGGTATTATAGTCCACGCAGTACAATACAACAATATAATAAACGAATTTATATTATCAATATGTTAAACTGACGGAGTTTATAAATTTTTGTTAAGATATTTTATGGTGCGTTTTTAGTTAGCTAAGATCGCGATTAATTATATAAATACACTCTATAAAAAAAATCCAAGTCGTTATTTTAGCATTATATTAGTCATAAAATAGCACTGTAACTGCGACTAGACACGTTATCTTTTTATAATAGTTAATATAAAAAGCGTTACATAATTTTTGATTGGAAAACCGGAATCTATTTTAAAATAAATATATAACTAAATAAATAAATAAAATGAAGATGATTGTTTTATAATTTAGGGTACTGTTTATGAGACCAATATGATTTAGGGTACTGTTTATGAGACCAATATAATTTAGGGTACTATTTATGAGACCAATATAATTTAGGGTACTGTTCATGAGCCCCAGTATCCTACCCTTGCAAAACTTCTGGAATACATGTTTAGCTAATTAGATTTCAGACTTCAGATACGTATTGATTGTGCCAATTAACTAAAAGCTTGTCTTTTAACTTCATAAAGAGTTTAAATTTGAGTTCAATACAATAAAAATTTTAAACCTTACAAGATTCTAGTCTGTAACGCCTAATCGTTATATTTTCTGTAAGATACTAATCGTTAACATTTACTGTAGAATGTTCCGTTTGTCTGTTTTTTTTTTTTCTTTTTTTTTTACACTTAATTTCCTGACCCCACAATTTTCGTGATTACGATAGTGGAGAGTTTCGAAAATTCTAGATTTTCTATCAATCATATATTCGATCAGCGATATCTATATCGATATGTATTTGGAAATTTGTATAATTCTCTTAGAATCGAAAATTGTCAATCTGCAGAGGTTACACCTTTATGCAAAGCGCAATAATCCTAGTCAACTGTTATTGCATTTACCGAAATTGTACGTCTAAGTTTCTATATGAGTGCATGGGAGTGAAACCTGTAACCAATCATAGTAAACAACTAAATGTGTTTCCAAGTTTTCACTCTCACGTACTCATATTAGAGTGTCCAGAGTACTGCGGTGGCAGAATCTGCGAAGAATAAAAATTATTGGTGAATATGCCTATTGTGATGAAATTAGAATTTTCTTTAGAATTTCTTTTTGACGTAATTTTGGTTTTTAAAGTATTATTTATACGTCACCGCAGAATTGCTAATTAACGATAATTGCAGCAGAATTTTTCAGTTAGAGCAGCGGTATCCTGGACACTCTAACTCATATGTTAATGAGGTACACCGCTTCAATGTGCCTACTTTGATCTTATGATCTTATTGTTAGACATAGTTATGCTGCAGGTATTATTTAACGCTGACATAGGTCCAATAGGAATTGAGGTACGAAACCAAAATGTAAAATGATTAAGACCTAATAATTGAAAATAAAGAGGAAGCAATAAATCTAAAATAGGCGGATTTTTGTAAAAAATCGTTAAATAGAAAATGATAAAGTTACCGTAGCATATCAATTAGATTTTAGTATAAATCTAATTATATATAAGATGAATTTTTTGAATATAGTAAAATTCAATATCTAAAAAAAAAATTGTACATACGTATACCTTGTGATATTGAGGAATACATCTATAAGTTTTATAAATATGCATGCATTCCTGCAAATCGCAAATTCCTATTCCCCTGGCCTTTCTGTCAATAATGCGATGCACAATAACGTTGTTCTATTTCTATAATAAACCATTTAAAAAAAAGGATCCTCAATGAATGATATACGAATGATTGAGTGATTTGAACAACAGATATAGTAAAAAATAGAATGGTTGCTTTAAATAGTCATTTAAACTTATTATTTATATGCTTGTTATAAACCGTAGATCTGTTACACAATTCATAAATTTTTTTTATATTGTTTTAAAGTACTTTTTTAAAAAGTTCACGTTACTTATTCGTGAGTATCTCTCAAAGTAAACTTGAAGGTTTCGTGCTGTACTTTAATAATATTGCTTGAATCACTTGAATCCAACAACTTTCATATGACGATTTACCCTGCAAAGATGTATATGCAAGTAAGTAATTTATAAGATCAAACTACAAGATCTAGACGTTGAATAAAAAAAAAGGCTAAAAACAACGATTCGGCAAAGTAACATAGGTTTGTGTGTTAGTTTATATCTAAGTTGAAATATATAAACTTTAAAAACTCTATTAAGATAATGTTGTATTATTAGAATAATCATGTAAGATGTCTGGCTTCTAAATTAGATATTCGAAAGGTTATTTAAGTTCCTATAGATAATGATATTAGTAGTTTGTTATTAGTTAATAAATAAACAGAATGATTATACGCTTGCCCATTTCACAGAATAATATAGCGCTTGCTTACTTCACAGAATAATTTAATACGCTTATTCTAAATGGTTTTGGTCTCGATTTTGCATTCTTCTAAAACTTAGATTTGATTGGCTTATTGCCATTGTGAGCCGTGAAACGTGATCCCGGAAGCACGTGAAAGGAGGTGATCGAGGTGGCGCAGTAATAAATAACTAACGGCTATGTCGATCACCTACCTAATATGGGCTTCCCGGGATTATCGCTCTTAAACGTCGTATAGAGTCTTTAGCGATTATAAGGGTAATAGCGATGATAAGGGTTTTAAGGAAGAACTATAAGTAAAGGGATATATGATATATCGGGGATTTAAGTAATACAGGACATTAAGGATATATATGTTAAATAATAAGTTTAGTATGTTTAATAGCTGTAGGAGCGCATATGTAATATAACAGTATATAATAAAGGTTTCGTGCCCTACCTGAGCAGTAGTTTTTTCGTGCTTGCAATACATTTTGACCCAAATACTTTCCTGCTTTCGTGACAATATATTATAAAACCTACGATCATAAACACACCACTCTCCAAATCTAACCGCCTCTTATCGACTGACTCGCCGTTTCGCCCGTGTCACCATATAAAAATCAATGAACTTTGTATAACATCCTCCGAATAGAAATTAACTCTATAGAATCGATTTAAGCCTGGACCGTTCCAGTCTTGTAGGGACCTGAAACGATCTTTTTAAAATTTTATAAAATTTTTGAGTAAAAAAAATTATTTTTGAGTGCGAAAAATAATTCTTTGTAATCTTCATGTGATCACACCGATCAAATCTCTTCAGACAATCGACACTCTATGAAGGGGTACCCTTATGTCAAGAAAATCCCGGGCTGAAGATCGCTGAAGATCACTTCCGACCCTATCCGTATCCAATAAAATCACAGGATCTCGTGTAACAAAACGCGAAAAACATAAGAAATTGTAAAAAAACGTAAATAACACCAAAATTTACTATGATAAATAACTTCCGACCTCTAAGTAAAAGTTTTCAAAATGAAATTTTACTTATAAGATACGATTCTTAATGTTAGATATATAGAGAAATTTTGATATACTATGACCCATATCTTTTTGGCCGGCAGCCCGGGATTTTCTTGACATAAGGAAATTCATGTACTGTACGGAACTTTTATAACTAATGCGTTGGCACATTATTATTGCCAGCACTATGAAAGTTTTGGCCAACATTATTTACATGCAAAAATTACATATCAGAAACTTGCACGTAAAAATTACACAGATTTATAATCCTATATACAAAACACATGATACTTTCTACTAGTGATGTGCCACGTACAGTACTATACGTACAGTACTGTACGTACTGTACGCTAATTTTTTTGCCGATCACTTTTTCCAGCCAATCAGATGCAGGAAAAGAACTATACGTACTGTACGCTAAAATTTTTCAGGTATCATATAAATGGCACATCACTACTTTCTACAGATAATTTTAACGTTATAAATGTAGACATGTTCAATATTATTAAATTTTCATTTGAATACTTTTACAACATGTTTAGTGTGTTTAGTTTGTGAAAGAAACATATATAAAAATCAAATTACGATGTGATTTAAGAATTTATAGTCAAGGGACAAATACTTATTTCTGCAAGTAAATCAGCAAAGATTCGTTTATTATTTCGCTAAAGCACGTGAAATTTTGACCAGCGTTAGGGTTAGGGTTAGGTTAGTAGAAAAGCGATCTACATCACTTTCAGAAATAAGTGTACGCCCGGGTACCTCAGCCACATAAGTGTAACATTTTGGGCGCCCCAAACAATGTAATAATTTCGGCCAATTATGAAGTCATGATTGAATATATGATTGAGATAAGCAATCACTACTAACCTTTTCTCATTAATTCCTTATTATATTTCATTCTGCTAACACTTCTTTAGAAATTCATTTTCAAATTATCACTTATACCGTTCTTTTATGATACTGGGTGTTCAATAAGTTTCATAATTTTAAGTGACTTATAATAGATTATGATGATTATTTATACAAGTTATGTATTTTTGCATAGGTAATCCGCCGATTCTGTTCACCCCAAAAATTTGATATTTGATTTTGGGGCACATTCTTTTAATCAACTATATATCAGTATATCTGAATCGCAATGATATAAGGGACGCTTAGGATATGTACAACGACCTTTGAAACGCTTTGTATTATATTGGCATTTAATATTCTAATATAGCTATAAAAGAATTTCCTGTAAAGGATAAGAAATCATTACGGATATCAATCTTTTAAAGTGTATAGGCTATTTAACATAATAATGAATAAAATGTTCTCTTAATGAGAATATATTATTAGATTGATTGTACACGTAAATATTGTTGAGAATTTGTTGTTACAGTCGGCACTAGTATAGGTTCAAAAATGGCATTTAATAAAATTCATGAATCGTAAAAGTTAAACAATAAGCCCTATCTTCTATTATTAAAACCGCAGCCCAACTTCTAATAATATACAAGCATGATTTTATTATAAACAAGTGAATTATGACCAAATTGTAATAATTTTCCGGCGCCCGCATCTTATTGTTTAAAGCGTCTTTTTTGATGCAGAAAATTAAATATTTGTTTACATATAATTGTTGTTTTTCTAACAAATAAAAATTTAACATGTCATAGACCAAAAATAATGCCGGTAAATTAATAAGCCCCGCTTCTAGTTAATTGCTTTACCTGACTAAGCCCATGAAAAATTTCATACTACTTGATTAGTTCAGTTCTTAACTTTTAATAATCACCAAACATCGTATGTTATCAAGATCAATTTTGCAGAGTTGAGTCGATAAAGTAAGCCTTTGTTAATCAATCTACAAGTTTCTCTTACGTTGTTTATAGAATAATTGAAATATTTAATCATCATATAGCGCTGAAAAATATTATAATTATAATACGACAAGGTGAAACCTAAATTGCGGTTTTCACCCTAGCCCGATCTACAAAGCGGATTTCACTATTTCGCAACCCCTGTCCTATTATAAAAATTACGAATAACTGCAATGTAATATTGGTTACAATAATATGAACCATTTCAAGACCATATGCTAAAATAATGTATATTTAAAGAGTACATCGAAAACTAATCAAATTTAATATTGTTATGATTAGACTTTTACCTAGCAAAGTCAATATCGAACTTCGAAAATTAAAAAATTTATTATTATATTTTAAAGCCTTTTAATAGCTATTATACAGTTTTAACCTTAATCTATTAAAATTTTATAAAGTATTATTAAAAGTAAGAAGAAAATAATTAAAATAAAAAGTGTAGTTAAATCATGAAAATCTTTATTTGTACAGTATACGAGTATATAGGAAAGCCAATCAAAGAACCAAAGAGCCTATTGTCACTAGTACCTTTGATTAGGTAGTCTTTATTATGATTTTTATTTATTATCTATCTACCTTCTCTTAGTTACACGTAATCAATGAGATTTTATGCAACATTGGTGCTTTGCTACTATGATTATAATTTTACAACCAATATGACTATTTCGAGTATCGAGGGGAATCTATGGTTAACAATAAGCAATTCATACACATTTATATTAACCTGACTTTAGTTCTCACCAGGGCTTAAACGACTATATTAATTTGCCGGCCATTTACTGCGCCATGGTTATTGTTCAAAGTGTTTTTTTTGATTCATCGAAATTAGTATGCCTAATCGAACTAACAATGGCAATAAATAACGAATAGAAAATTTAAATTTTACTACTGTTCTTTAATTATTAAAATTCATCATGAAAACGTTAAACGAAAATGTATGTAAAAGTTATCAAACCCAACTTCATTAAAAATTATGAAAATAACGTCTCAACATATTAAACATATTAATAGAAATTTTAAGCCAAGTTGGAAAAATGACTTTCCATGGCTTGAATATGATGCTGAAAGTAATAAAATGTTTTGTGCTTTATGTCGCGACCATAATAAAAAAAATGCATTTGCGACAAATGGCAAGTAAACTATTTAAATAGGTTTATACGATACAACATACATATTAGCAGTATATATAGATGAATTATTAATAAATATTTTATATATAATTAGGGGCCACAAATATTAAACTTTATGCTGTAAAGGAGCATACTAAAACCCAAGACCATACCGATTCATGTAAAAAAAATGAAATTTTAAATACACCACCTGAACATATTAAAAGCTTGATGAAAATAATTTATTGTCTTGCTAAAAATGATATTCCGTTAAATAAATTCAGTCAATTAGCTCATCTTGGTCGTGCTATTGGAGCTCCAGATTTGGTTTCTGAGAATCATCCAATTACTTATGAAAATAATACTTGTGTCGTGAATTATTATTTTCTATATCTACAACAATTGAAAAAAGTATTTGGGAGGAATTAAATATTGCTACAGCAATCAGAATCATAGTTGACGAAAGCACAGATATTTCTACAGAATCTCATCTTATTATCTATGTTAAATATCTTATTAATGGTATTATTAAAATACAATTTTTAAGTCTATTACAAATTGAAAATAGTGATGCAAAATTTATTTATAATACTATAATTAATCCATTTGTTACTAGAAGTATGTATTTAAATTAATTCTATATTTTTTATTTTTTAAATATACTAAATTATTTAATTTTATTTTTTAAATAGATCTACAGCATAAAATCTTCGCATTTACATCAGATGGCGCAAGTGTAATAAGAGAAAATGGCATTGCTACACAAATGAAACAAATAAATCCATATATATTTACTACACATTATATTGTGCACAGATTAGCATTGGCCTGTGAAGCTGCTAAAAAACAGGTGGAATCTTGTATATATGTTAAATCATTATTAAAAAAAGTTTATGCTTTTTTTAATAATTCTGATAAACAGGTTCAGATTTTATCAAAATATCAAGAAGCTCTTAATATGCCAATTTTAAAAATTAAAAAAATTTTTAATATTTGTTTTTTTTTTTTGGAGTTAAGGTGAGGTCATGCCTCAGGTCTGTTTATTCAAACATATTGTTACAGTTTGTACAACT